TCCGTCGACGTCCGTTGTTGTCGTCTGGTGTAAACTTTTTCAAACATTTTCTCTGAAGAAACTACTAAACCAATTCCAACCAAACTTAAGCTGAATGATCATTAGGGTATCTAGAATAAAGTTAGTGTTTTAATTATTTGTTTCGTCAAAAAACATGGCCACCATGGCTAAAAATAGAACATAGGGGTAAAATGCAGTTTTTGGCTTATATCTCAAAAACTAAAGCATTTAGAGCAAATCTGACATGGTCACAAATGTTCATTAGGTCAAGTTCTATCAGCCCTGAAATTTTCATTGTTGGGTTGCTGCCACTAAATTGGTAATTTTAAGGAAATTTTGCAGTTTTTGGTTATTATCTTGAATATTATTATGGATAAAGATTAAACTGTAAACAGCAAAAATGTTAAGCAAAGTATGATCTACGAATAAGTTTTAATGACCAAATTGTCAATTGACCCCTTAAGGAGTTATTGCCCTTTAATGATTGCTACATTTCAATTACTTTGTCAAATCCTCATAGAATTTTATGAATCTTTGTTAGAAGCTTTTTTATGATTAGAAGATGAATACTGAAGCAATCTTTTGAAAAACTTTTTTTTTCATTTTCAGTATTTTTCATAAACTTAGTTTTTTACAGTTAACATTTATAAACCTTCATGTATTGTTATGATACTTGTACAGAAGTGAATATTCAAGATTAAGAAATAGCATCTATAGAAAAAGTTTGCATTTTTTTTTACTTCTGTATTTTACTGATAAATGTACTTACTTTTTACTGTCAACATTACACTTTTCTGACAGCAGCAATCACAGGCGAGACACAGAAATCTGCAGAACCCTTTACGAATTTTTAATTAATTAACATACTTTTGATTATACTTTTTCTTTCAATATAAACATTTAAGATAAATTTAAGTGAACTTGAACATATGTGTGTTTATTCAATATTTAGTATCTGTTACTTAATTTATTCAAATTAGGGATTAAAGATGTCAGCATAGAACAGTGGTACAGTTTATAAATGATAACCATCCTTGAAAAATTTATTTTTTTATCAAATCAATAAATTGAAGTCATCTGTGACAACCTAAGCATTTGTCTTAAACTTCAGTTCTGTGGCTTTGTGTGATAATTTTAATTTTAAGTTTTTTTTTTGTCATTGGACATATCTGATGTATATGTTTATGGAGGGAAATTGAACACTGAAACTAAGATATGGATTGGAGATCATTTTCAGGGAAATTAAAATATGTTTTCAAACAAAAGAATAAGCAGTGGTGTATTTCTTATAAACTCTCAAGTAAGTCTTTTTTTTAATGACTAATATGGTACATTGCATTACAAATAAATAAAGTCTATACAGTAACATTAGAGATCAAAAACTATCAAAAAAATATGAGCAATTGCATTTTGCAGATATCAGAAAAGGCCTAGGGGAAAATCGTCTAATTGCGGACAGCGCTGATATGCGGACGGAAAAAGAATATCTCAATTTTCAATAAAATTATAAAAATTGAAATAAAATAGATATAAAATATAAGGTGTTTTGTTTACTATTGAAACTCTATTTTTTTGCAATAAGGATATCATGTTTATTACTTACGATTTACTTTCATATCATATGTGATTGAAAGTGCATGCTATAAATAGATTATGTCAACAAGTTTGAAAACTGGGAAATTTCGAAAAGGTCCAAAATCAGCGTGTCACATTCAATACACAGTTATTCATGTTAGAATGGTAATTTATGTGTTGAAAAGCAATAGGCATTGCGTATGTTATGCAAGGCAACATTTCTTTTAATTATGTTTACTGATTTATCTAAATTTTGATTTCAAAATAGGAAAATGCAAGTCTCCACATTTTCACCACGGAAAATAATATGATAGCCGAAATGGGGACACAAGATATTTTGAACAACTAACACGTGCAGAGGTACATATGTCAACACCATGATGTGGGAAAAGCAAAACTCTCTTAGAATCTAGTACGATACATTTATATCAATAAAATGTTGATTTGGGTTTATAATGTTGTTTTGCTTTCATTTTGCATATTACGAGCATAATGCGTTTACAAGTCTGATTTTCACTCCAGTAGGCAACTTGCACACATCTTCTTTAGGTCAAAAACTGAAAACGTCAACCCCGGGATGTCAAGTCAATTTATTTCTCTTTCTTTACAGAATGTCTACATGTTTAGGACTTTTTGCAAGAGCAAATGGAATGAAATAAAATGTACTGAAAACGATCACCCGAATGAAATTGCAACAATGTCTCATAGACGAGTTGCTATTTGACAACGATGTTATTGGCTATTTATTTATGAAATTGATATGTTTATCAAAATATGAATATGTATCAACACTACTATGCGAAATTATTGAAAGTGATAAGGAAAATGAATTCAGCAGCATTGTGTTTATTGCTAGAAAATCATGAAAATCAGGTAGAAGAGGTAAAGAGTTGGAAATTCTTAGTATCTTACTGGGGAAGAGGCAGATGCACTTATTGATATCACGGATGTTCTTTTAAAAGAAAAGTTTAATAAAAATTTTCAAAACATGATAGAAATAAAGTAACCAATACATCGGTTTTAAAGACCTCTTTAGACTTTCTGGGAGCATCCAACAGTAATTAATTTGTGCATCCAGTTGTCTGTCTGTCAGTCCGTCCGTCTGTTTCAAATCAAAAAACAAATGAGGGCCCTCATGGGGAGGTACCATTTATCGCATAATCACCAAATTTTTGCCAATATAATCACATAATCATTAAATATTTGCTTTGGTTATCAAAAACTAATTTTCTTTAGTGATAAAATAATCATAAACTTGAAGCTTGGTAGTCATCATATAACAATTTAAATGTAAAATATTAAATAACAAAAAAAGCTTCAAAATCTGGGTCTTCTCTGGCAAATGTTGCTCGTTTACTTCTTCTATGATTTTTTGAGTAATTTCTTCCTCGTCATCATCCATCTCCTCGGGTGAATCAGTATCACCTGCATCTTCCATATTTGGTTCGGTAATTTTCTCATGTGAATGACATATGCCTCACGTTTTTTTTACCTGCATGGACGAATGAATGTTAGTAAGTAATCATCCTTTGCATCTATCGTTAACCTGTTGTGTTTTAGACATTTCATCTAAGGCACAGAACTAGGTATGCATGTTCTGCATACGTTGGTATCCTCAGTGTCGCCAGTAGGATAAAATCCAATGCCATTATTGGTCAGAGAATGGCTATTATATAGAAAAAGTATATATTTGATGAAATGTAATGAACACCAATAGCGTATCATCATGAGTGACCACAATCTCCACCACTACGTCTTTATTATGGCCTGCTGACTTTCGGCGGATGCACTTTTATAGTGATCACTCTGTCTGTCTATTCATCCGTCCATCTACACTTTCTATGTCGTAGGATAACTCAAGTTTGCTCTGTCAGATTTTAAAAGAAATTTTTGCACAACATTAAGTACCATTAGGGGAAGCTCCCTTTCATTTTTTTTTACTTTTCATCTGTGAGATATTGGACTTAGGCCAGCAGGACCCTTCATTGAGGAGTGACACGGGTCAGTATTCATAATACATGTACTGACTTTTTCCATAATTCCCTGAAATTTTTAGTCTCCATTTTTTACCTATTCTCATATTTTTTTTCAGACATTCCAATTTACAAAGTTTTGCATGTTCCCTCACACCTTGCGTTTTCCAATCTTTGATTTCCCAACTCTTAAAATAAAGCCTTTTGACTCATTCCATATCAGAAATGCAAAATTTAAAAATCTCGCCTCGAGGTGTCTTATGCTCTAGGACTATGGATTTTTTTGTGATTAGGACATTAAAACACATTGCAATGAATGCCATACGATTTGAAATTGAAAGGTATCACAACTATATCACGTATATATGTATGCATGTATCTTGGAAGAGAATGTCATGATGGAAGTTGTTAGTACAAAAAAGTTTCTGCATCTTATATCATTTAATAATTGGCATGGCCGAAGATATTTACTGAACTTTTTTAATCTTATTTTTTTCTCATCTTTCCACATGTATTACCAGTTCATGTGAGAAAACCATTCTCATGCACCGAAAGAGTATTCATGCGTTTTGAATAGCAAAAACTGTTTGAAAATAAGTGTCTGCAATTTGACGACAAGGTGTCCGTATTTTAACTCCCCCTGTCTGCATTGACATGACTCAGCAGTTCCGCGGGTTTTGAGATTTTCCAATCTACCAATCAAGAGAGGAGACATAAAAACGCGGGAAATAGTCCATTTGATACCCCTCTATCCTCTCCTGTCAAATGCAACCACCAGTATGTCCGCAATTGGCCTCGACGGTATCCAAACTTCCGGATTTGAAAAAGTGTCTGCAATTAGGCGAATTTCCCCTATATAATTTTTTGTTCCCCTTTTTAATAGAAAGTTTTTAACAGCTTCAAACTTAATCAGAATTTCCAAAAAACTCTTTGCAAAATTACACAAACAATTCAGTTTCATAATACATGTACTGACTTTTTCCATAATTCCTCTTAAATAATTATTTAAATTAGGAAATCATTAGATAAAGAGAATTTTAATTAACAAGAAGGAAGGAAATGATTAGTCATTATAGTCAGTGGCTGATTAAAGGTGGGGGAGGGGGTACAGGTTGTAGGGCATACCCTTTTGATTTTTTATTGAAAACAGCTTGACAAAATTTACTTGATTACAAAATGTACAGATTCTTCAAAGGAATTAATATAGTTGTCAACTTTCACAATAGAATTGCAAAGTCCGTCTGTCTCTCCCATAAAATTTGCATCACATTTCTTGGGAACTACACTTCAGAGCTTCCTGAAATTTAGTATATACATGTATATAGCTGAAGGTTTACTGTGTAATGAAATTTTCACATCAATTGCTCATCAACTTCCTGTTTACCAAATATTTATAGCGGGATTATCATCAGTTGATGTTACTTATACATGTATTTGTTGTTTTATTTTTAGACTATGAGGATTCACCACAGTATGAAGCAGAACCTGTATCTACAGAAGAATCAGATACAGATTTATCACCTTCATATGAAAAGAAGTCAGCAAAGGGACATAAGCAAGCAGAAGAGAAAAGTTCTAAGAGGGGAACTTCTCAAAAGAAAGAAAATAATCCTAAAAAAACAGTAAGCATTGATTCACAGCAATATACTTCACAGTGTTATACTCTGTAGTTAGTGAAAACAAAAACGTAGTTTGTGAAAATGAACATGTAATAGATAATTACAGGCCAGTTTTATCTGAAAATGGAATTGACTTTGCCATAAAAGCATTAAAGGATGGGAGAAATAAACAATTTGCTGATCAGGTATCCTGCACGATTAGTGGGATAATATATTTATTTTTATGCCTCCGCCATAGCGTAGCGTAAATTTAAAATGTTATGAAACTTATACAAAATGCTTATTACCACAAAACACAGATCAAGTTTGAATTTTGGTGTCTTCACTCTAACCGTTCTAGAGTTATGCCCCTTTATAAGTGGAAAAATTGCAAAATTTTTAGTTTCCTTCCTCTAACTTAAGTTTGCCTCAACCAAATTTTATGAAACATATACACAATGCTTATTTCCACAAAATAAAGATCAAGTTTGAATTTAGGTGGGGTCACTTTAACTATTCTTGAGTTATGCCCCTTTATAAATGGAAAAAAATGCAAAATTTTTAGTTTCCTTTCTCTAACTTAAGTTAAACCTATACACAATACTTATTACCTTAAAACTCAGATCAAGTACAAATTTGGGTAGCTTCACTTTTATCGTTCTTGAGTTATGTCCCTGTATAATGTTGTATGCAAACGGAGGCATCATCTGTGTCCATGGGGAGACATTCTCCATTTATTGATTTGAATTTACCCCAGCTTTTGTATGATCGTACGTACCACGCGAGTGGTGTATACATGCTTGTTGAAAAGATTCAGTACATTTGGTGGAAGTTTCATATTGAAGTATTTTTTATGGCCAATTGATATTTTTCTATGAAAATTCAAATTTATTGAAGTACATATCAGTTTTTGTGAAAAGCGTTCAAAGGGACGCAAGTCAATATCTGCAAAGGAGAAAAATACATAACAAAAATATCATGTTTTTGATTAATTAAAAAGAAATAATTTGTAAATACTAAAACTAGCAGAAATGAGTACAAATTATAAAACAAAAATGATAATAATTTAAAGAATTGTCTATAACAATCTGAAACAAATAACTGTCCTTGGTTCATTTTCTTTATATGAATGCTTCTGTTTAAAAGTTGCATATGGGTGTGTTAACCTTAGTGCATTTTATAGATGTCACAAAGGAGTAGGCCTGGTAAGACCCCTTTTTGGCCCCAAAATATAGCATTTCAAAAATTTGTTTAAAATGTAACTTTTAGCTATTAACTGAAAAAAGAATACTTAAGTTACATAAGTATTGGCTGTTTTTGACATTACACTGCACATGCATAAGGTACTAGCATCATTAATTCATGCAAAATTATTGAAATCTTTACAATTTTATAATTTGTGCTAATTTTTAGGCTGTTTTTGTCTAAAATGGAAGTAGCCGCAGTTGTGTTCAGTCTTGATATTAAATATATGTTGTATTTAATAATGATACATAACATATATAAGGTTGAGACTGAACACGAATGTGGCCACTTCAAATTTAGGCAAAAACCATCTGAAAAGTGACGTTTTGTGGCATATTTGATAGATTTTTCATATTAAAGTTTGAATTTAGGCATCTTTAGTGACCAAATCAGTTCAAATCTTTTACATAAACTAACTGAATCAACTGAAGAAGACACTGTAGTGTTTAAAAAATGTCAAAAATCTTCCATCAGATGTACTTCCAAATTTAGGCCACAATAAGCCCTTAGCGAACCTTCTCCTTTTCCAAAAGAATGTGAGAAGATATATATACCAAGGGGCAATCAGAAATCACAAGTCCAATAAAAACAAACAGAAAAAGGGTGAAGGTTTGGTACCATTAAAACGTTTAAACCCGCTGTATTTGTTTGCACCTGTCCTAAGTCTGGAATCTGATGTTCAGCAGGGGTTAAACAATTTTGTTACAGCTAACTAGCTCAGGACTTATTGGCAGCAGGATTTTACTAGCCCTGTTGGAAGAACTGCTAGTCCATCAAAACTGACCTGCTAGCCCGAGTATGCCTTAAAATCAGAGTTTGCTGCATAATACAAAGTGGGTGTCCCTTGTTTTGAAGGCGGCATTATACACTGTATTTAATAATTTTTGTTGATCTGCTATTTATTCTGTTGGTGCTAAACCTAACATAGTTGTTCCCACATACAAAGCAGACTTTTTATTGGCATGCTTGGAGAAATAATCATAACGGCAATATTCACAGAGCATCGTCTCTGTTTTTCATCAGCAACAGCCGACCTTGCCCAGGGGAATCATTCTGTCCTGGACACTTTTAATTTTTTCCCCCGCTTTTCCTGGTCGTATTTGTCATTTTTAGGGGAAGAATTTTTAGCTTCGTTACCCCCTTCATCTACCGTTTTTCGTTTTGAAACTGACGAAGTTCCTGGGGTGCCAGTACTAAAATATTTAGAAATATTTTGTTGCATGCTTTCGTGCTCAACAGCTGTCCGCAAAAAAACAGGTCAATACCTATCAATATATCATACCCCCCTCCAGTACCGTTAATTGAAAATCTCGGCATAAGCAATGTACAATACCCCAGGCCATGGTATGAGAAATCGATATTTAAAGTATGAGAATTAAGATCAATACATGATACCGGGCCACCCAGAGTTATTTGTTCTGTTTTTATAATATGTACAACAGGACCTGTACAAACCAGTTCAAATTCTTGGAATCCCGGATGACGTAATTGAATCTGATTGGCTAAGATAGAATAGTGATGAAGGGATTTTCCACTTTCTATTTTGGAAACGTCAATAATTTTTTGTTGCTAGTCCGTCGGGCATATTGGGTTACAAATTTTGATTGCCTGAGGCGTAATTCTCTAGTCCCGGGCGTCGGGCTAGTGGATTTTTTAACCCCTGGTTCAGTAGTTGTCGTTTGTTGATGTGGTTCATAAGTGTTTCTCTTTTCTCGTTTTTTATATAGATTAGACCGTTCGTTTTTAGTTTGAATGGTTTTACACTAGTAATTTTTGGGGCCCTTTATAGCTTACTGTTTGGTGTGAGCCAAGGCTCCGTGTTGAAGACCGTACTGTGACCTATAATGGTTTACTTTTATAAATTTTGACTTGGATGGAGAGTTGTCTCATTGGCACTCATACCACATCTTCTTATATCTATAAACACCATGGCCAATAGCAAAAACAACAAAAAGACAAACAACATGAACAAAACACTATGCAGAAAGCTAAATACAGTTTGAGTTTTTCTCATTGTTGATGGTCTTTGGTTGCCTATAATTGCTTACTTCCACTTTATTTGAACTTTGGTGGATTGTTGAGGGTCCTAATGGGGGTACCTTCATGACGGGTAACGGTAAAAAATCTTGCCAAATGACGTTAACGGTAATTTTTGGTGCATAACAATAAAATGTATACGTTCTTTAAAATGATAAAAAAAATCAATTGATTTTGACGAATCACGTTAAATGTTTTCCAAAAATAAAGTTCACGGATAATTATTTGAGACCCCTGGCTAATTCCAATAAGGATATTTTGACGAATCACGAAAAAACTTTAACCAATTTGACGCTAATGGTAGCCAAAAATGACTGTTTGATGCTGACCGTAAAGGGCATTCCTACCCTCATAGTTGTCTCATTGGCAATCATACCACATGGCCCAAGACCACAATTAATGATCCCGCTTTTCGTTGTCCACGAAATATAGTTCCTTTTAATTAGAGTGTTTTTTTTCTTAATTTTTTTTCTTTCCCTTCCTCACTCATTTCTTAGTTTTTTTTGGGTGGAAATAAAAGAAGAAAGGTGAAATAATCTTTTGGATGTTGTATTTTAACTGATTTTGATATGGAAAGAGTGATTAGGCCAGGTGCAAAAAGGTGATATTTACAGTTTTCGGAACATCTCTTGACTTGTCCATAGGGGTATGGATGTGTGTTGGCTAAATTTGTAAGAGTCATTGGTTCAATCTTTCTGAATTTTGGATATATTTTTGGACTAGTACTATACATTATACACACAAAAGATTTGACAAAAATGCAAGGTGCAATTTTTTTAATGAAACAAAGCGTTATAAAGAACTAATAGGGGAATTTAATTGTGGTCTGTGGCCTAAGAGGTGAATTCAGGAAATATTGAATTTGTACTTTGACAACTTCCCTGAATGATCTATTGGTATTAATTTGTCAAACTACATGAGAATAAATGATTTCCACTTTTATTTGATAGAAATTTTGTAAAAAAGTGACATTTCAGCCTACATGCCCAAAATTGAACTTTTTCAGTTGTTTCAATATTTTTACAAAAGTAGCATGCTTACTTTCTCTCTGACAGATTTTTCTGGTTTTCTATTTGTGTTTGTGGTATCTAATGTAGATGTTTAACTCATTTTTGAACACTGAACACAAAAAAAAGTAGATAAAAACAGAATAAGAGTGCAAAATGTGCTGCTTTAATGGTCTTAGTCTAACGGTCAGTATGAAGCAAGTGAAAAATGAGGTTCTATGCACATACAAGTTGAATTCCTTTTAGCAGATTTCACTGAATCTGTATCAAAAGCACTTATTACTGGTTGTTTGACCTTGTCTGTTTCACAGACTACCTTTATTTTCTTTTGTTTGATAGCTAGTGGTTAAAATATTGGCCTTTTGAGGCTGAAATTTCATGCCGGTTTTAAAAAGTAAAGTAAATAACTTTGCATCAAATCATACTGTCTACATATATAATTGAAAGTGACAGTCATGTTACATCCAGGCTCCATGTTTTATCATATCTAAACAAAGATTTGACCAAAAAGAAGCATATCTCTATCTACCATATCATTTATATGCTTTTTAATATGCAAATGTGGGGAACGACCTAAATTGACAACCTGTTTTTTTAAGCTTGACATTGCTGAAGACCATTTTATTCACATGTGTTATGCTATTTGAAACTTATATTTCCATTAAAAGTACATTTATAACATGTAAAAGGTGTTTTTATAACTTAACAACTTCAGAAAATTGTGGTAAGTGAAAAATATTACATTTCATATAAGGCCTAGATTCATTTGAAAACCTCTATTTTTTGGCACAGGCTCATATAAAATTTACTTCTGGCCATTTTTTATAAGTCTGAAACATGAAGTATGCTATCTGTTGCTTTTAATAGGTGATAACTTATACATAGAAACATTAAAAAATGTAAGTTTTGATATATTTTGGTTTTTAGAAGCCCAAATTTGATAGTTGAAATTGTTCTAATTCAACGCCACAATTCAGCACCCAAAGTTCAGATATAAAAAATGCCACATTTTTTATAATTGGTATCATATGGCTTTGAAACTTTGTAAACTGTTTTATAATACACTAAGCTTAAATCATGCCAAGTTTTATTAGAATTGGTCAAGTTTTAGACCCCTAATAGGCCCAAGACCACAATTAATGATCCCACTTTTCGTTGTCCACGAATATAGTTCCTTTTAATTAGAGTGTATTTTTTCTTATTTTTTTTTCTTTCCCTTCCTCACTCATTTCTTAGTTTTTTTTTGGGTGGAAATAAATGAAGAAAGGTGAAATAATCTTTTGGATGTTGTATTTTAACTGATTTTGATATGGAAAGAGTGATTAGGCCAGGTGCAAAAAGGTGATATTTACAGTTTTCGGAACATCTCTTGACTTGTCCATAGGGGTATGGATGTGTATTGGCTAAATTTGTAAGAGTCATTGGTTCAATCTTTCTGAATTTTGGATATATTTTTGGACTAGTACTATACATTATACACACAAAAGATTTGACAAAAATGCAAGGTGCAATTTTTTTAATGAAACAAAGCGTTATAAAGAACTAATAGGGGAATTTAATTGTGGTCTGTGGCCACATCTCCTTATTTTTATAAAGATTTAGCAGCCTACACCACCAGAAACTGGGAGTGAACTCAGGTGATCCAGAAGTGTTATATGAAGAATTTATTTTTTTAGTCACATGATTGCCTTTATGCTAATCAGATTGGTTGGTCTTCTTTAAAACATACAAATTACAAGTGTTATACAATTATGCTCTGCCTACTGAGTGGGGGTATTATTTTCTGGTCCACGCATTCATCATTCATTTTCAGACCTACAAACTATCCAGATTTATGGGGGATATCTCCCATGGGAGGGGTTGACCTGATGAATTAAATCCTTTATTATATGAACTTAATACCTCAAAATAGTTATTTAAATGAGTTTAATGCATGCATTTATAATTTCGATTTTTAAAGAATGGCTAAAATGCAAGGTTAATTTTTGCAATTTTAGGAAATATTCATTCAGGTACTGTAAATGCAGAAATTATTGCGAGGTTTTTATTAATGCGAATAATGCGACCAGGTGAGTATCGCAATGATAAGAACTCGCATTTTGATAACTGAAACATAGATCTATATGCAGATGTTTGTGTAATCGCAATAATAAATGCACGCAATAATTTCTGAATTTACAGTATTTGTATCAGATAACAGAATTCGAGTTCTTATTATTGTGATACCCAACCAGTCACATTATTCCCATTAATAAAAACCTCGCAATAATTTCTGAATTTACAGTTCCAAATTACAATTTCTGCCCTGATTTCATGGTCAATAAACATAGAAATGTGATAGTGTAAAATTAGAACATTCTCAGGTTAAAGTTCTTGGTTAATGTAGTTTTGCAATGGTCACATCAACTTGCAATTTGGTACACATGTTCATCATGGTTTGAACAATCAAAATTATATGCCAAATAAAGGTTTTGACCCAATTTCACAGTTCATTGAACAGAGGAATATAGTTCAAGCCAGTGCTCTATGGACACAGATTTTTTGTTTGATTATTGAACATTATGTTTCTCGTTTCTCTTTTATTATATAGATTAGACCGTTGGTTTTCCTGTTTGAATTGTTTTACACTAGTCATTTTGAGGCCCTTTATAGCTTGCTGTTCGGTGTGAGTCAAGGCTCTGTGTTGAAGGCCGTACTTTGACCTATAATTGTTAACTTTTTATACATTGCGACTTGGATGGAGAGTTGTCTCATAGGCACTCATACCACATCTTCTTATTTATATACACATACGTAATAATATCATGAATGCAAACATTAAAATATGATATACTGTCCTCCGTTTTCAGAGCCTGCTTTCACTTTTTTAAAGGGCCAATTTTATCTTATTTAACTTTTTATAATTACCAGATTACAAGAATCATGATTATATTGCTAATCTATAAACTGAAAATTCAGAAATGTTTGTGTGCAGTTATTTTTTACAATAAATTTTTGGACAATCGACAAAAATGTGTGATGTATACCTAAATTCTATCAAAATTTTTATTTTTACAGAATTTTTCTCATCACAATTTTTGCAATAATAAATAAAACAAAAAAGGAGAGGACAAGATTTTTTTCATGTTTTCATAAATTTTATTATGCCCCACCTATGATAGTATAGGGGCATTATGTTTTTCGGTCTGTGCGTCCGTTCGTTCGTCTGTCTGTCCCTCTTCAGGTTTAAGTTTTTGGTCAAGGTAGTCTTTGATGAAGTTGAAGTCCAATCAACTTGAAACTTAGTACACATGTTCCCTATGATATGATCTTTCTAATTTTAATGCCAAATTAGAGTTTTGACCCTAATTTCACGGTCCACTGAACATAGAAAATGATAGTGCGAGTGGGGCATCCGTGTATTATGGACACATTATTGTTTGAGTTGTAGATTTTCATTTCAATATAAATTTACTCAATCTTAAATGAAATTGACAAATGGTTTCGATAGTTATATGCAGGAAACAAAATGAATAAGATCAGCTACCAATAAAAAATGTATAAAGTTGTGAGTTAAAAAATATATAAAAATTTATTAAGAGTAGATCATATTTGACTTTAAAGCTTTTGATGTTTGATTCATCTTTGGCATTCTAAACTACAACTGCCTTTGTAATCTCGGGTATAACATTGTGCATCTAGTGTTGGGAGCTTATGTGTTTGATCCCTCACCAGATTAAACCCAAGACTTAAATATTGGTAGGGGGCCTCGGTGGCCGAGTGGTCTAAGTAGTTCAACTACTGTAATCACTAATCAGTCAACACCAAGGTTGTGAGTTTCGAACCCTGCTCGTGCGGGTGCACTTTACTCTAATCTTAATTAACTAGGATTGTCAGTTTGCATACCAAAGGTTGCCATGAAATAACACAATAGTGATGAAAGTGGCATAAACACCAATCAATCAATAAATATTGGTTATAGTTTGCTACTTCTTCTATGTACATAGCATTTAGGGATAAGAGTAAAGACTGGCTCAAAGACTTAATAATAGAAAAGTAAGGGGAAGTGGTTCGAACTTTTTTCCGCAAAAGACAAGGAAAGGAATGTAGACAACTACAGGAATCCTATATGTCTGTATGTCCGTATGTCCCGAAATTGGTTTCTGTTCTCTAACTTTAGTTTGCCTCATTCAAATATTATGAAACTTATACACACGCTTATTACCACAAAACTCAGATCAAGTTGGAATTTTGGTGGTTTCACTTATGCTGAATTTTTTGTTTCTGTTCTTCAACTTTAGTTTACCTCAACCAAATGTTATTAAACTAATACACAATGCGTATTACCAGAAAACACAGATCAAGTTCAATTTGGGTGGCGTCACTTTTACAGTTCTCTAGTTATGTCTGTGCCCCATGGACATATTCTCCATTTACCTATAAATAATATTTTCGTGGATATTTGGATGTTTTGCCAAAATCTGCATATAATCAGATAGAAAAATTTGTACTTTGTTAAATATTTAAATTCCTGATTATCTTATAACAAAAATTAAAAAAAATTGGTAGCCAACAAACATGACAAATAATAAGGAATCAACATGAATATGTCAATGAAATTGAAAACAGAGTACTAACTTTTAGATTACTTTATTTTGCAGATTGTATCTGGTTCCCAAGATAAAAATTGGATTAGGATTGAACCTAGAACAGGTGATTTACAATCAACAGAAGACAGTTGGTTATCAAATCCTACAGATTCAGTTGAAAAATCTTTTGCGCAGGATTTGGAGTCCGTAGAAACTGAAAATTCCACCATACAATCCAATGACAGAGAAGGTAGTATTATAGGTGACTCAGAACGAGATGTTACGACAGTAAATAATACTGATCAATCAAAAAGTGATGTTACAGCAGAAGGGAAAACTGATCAATTGGAAAGTGATATTACAGGTGTGAGGAATATCGACCAATCAGAAAGTAATGTTACAGTAGAGAGGAATACTGACCAATTGGAAATAGATGTTATGGCAGAGAGGAAGACTGACCAATTAGAAAGTGATGTCACAGGAGAAAGGTATACTGACCAATCAAAAAGTGATGTTACAGGAGAAAGGGATACTGACCAATCAGAAATTGAAGAAATGGCAGAGAGGAAAACTGACCAACCAGAAAGTGATGTTATAGCAGAGAGGAAAACTGACCAAGATGGAGGTAGAAAAGGAAGCACTGATCAGGATGAAAGGACAAATTCTGATGACCTCAATAACACTGTAGAAGAAAATGTTCAGAATCAAGTTGATACTCTACCTTCTATACCAAAATATGGATTATGCAGAGGTAATACTGAAACAGACATAGTTGATATTGAAGTTAGCAGTAAAAATGAAATGGCAGATTCTGTCGACATTGAGACATTGCAGCAGCAAATGGTAGAATCTAAAAGTGACCCAGGAATTGATATTGAAAAAATAAGCAGAAGAAAAAATGTAAATTCAGATAGTGAATTAATAATGAGTCCAGAAAAAGAACAGGAAAATTTGAAAAAATCTAAATGTGCTGTTGAAAGTTATATGAAAATAATAAATAAGATGAAAGAAAAACAAAATGGGGAAAATTCACAGAAATCTCTTCCAGAAAAAAGTAGAGAAACACATATATCAGACAAAATGAATGTGTTTGAAAGTCCAGTATTAGATGAGTATATTGCAAATAATGCTTTTGAGCTGTCTAATGTGTTTGGTAGTCCTACAGAAGGAAGAACTAAATCCGTCAATAGTTCAGAAAAATTGGCCAGGATTGGTAGAATTATGGAAAATGTTCGGGCTAGAAATTATTGTAAATCTAAAGCGGAACGTGAAAGTACGCCAAAATCTCAATCTTTTAGGACAATATCTGATGATTATCTAAATATTACAAGTTCTAATGAAAAAAGTAAAAAAAAGAAATCTAAAAACACAGAAAAAAGTAGTAAGAAGAATGTTGCCAAAACATCTAAGAAAAAAACCAGTGATGTCAATGTGAAAAACACTGAAACAACTAAAAAAGGTGATGAAGAAATAGATAGCAGAAAAAGCAAAATAAAGAGCCCAACTGGTGTCAAAAAGTGCCTGTTTGCTGATTTAGGTAAACTACTGGGACCTGATGATATTTATGCTGCGAGTACCAGTGTATCATCTACAGAACGTTCCACAGATTCAATGGCCGTTACAAATGTTGAAACTTCTAATGGTAATAATATTCCTTCTGAAAATGCGAAAAATATATCTGCAGCCACAAATTTATTACCAGAAGCTGAAGTAAAATCAGAGGAGGAGAGTGAATACTTCAAATCTGTCCAAGAGGACATTGACATATCAAGCTATATCAGCAAAACAAAGAAAAAAAAGAAGTCGAAGAAAACACCTAAAGTCCAAAATCGAAAGTCTTCGTGGAATATGAAAGTGAGCATTAAAAAGAAAGACAAATCTGCCAAAGATAAAAGACAATCTGCAGATTCGACAAAAACTACTAACGACCTACTTGATGTAAGTTCAACTGATTTTGATTTTGATGAAGAGAAACCTGTGCTTTCACCTCAGAATGTTGACAGACAAAACGAATTACAAGAATCGCAAAATAATGATCCTCCATACTTAGATATGGAGCAAGAAGTTGAATTGGACATGAATGAGTTGAGCGTTTTGACTACGGATATTTTACAGCATTTACAACCAGTTGTTTATTTAGAGCGATTAAGTGAAAATCTACTGAATGAATACTACTCAAGGTCTTCATCAAATTCAGTGGATACTGAAGATCAAATAGACGACAATTCAGGTTCCGAAAGAGGTTCTTCAATTGGATGGGAAAGTAGTGATAAAAAATATGAAAGTGACGATTTGTCTGTAAATGATTTAAAGAAATTAAAGAAAAGTAAGACTTCTACAAAGGATAAAATGGTAAACGGTAAACTTTCTTTGAGCAAAACGGCTAAAGATCCTAAAGTACCCAAAACTGGGTCACATTATAGGGCAAATATGACAAAAAAAGGAGACAAGGTAGCTAAAACATGTGACATTGAGAAATCTCCGACAAGAAATGTAAAAGATAAAGATGACAAGGTAGCTAAAACATGCGACATAGAAAAATCTCCATTTAGAAATGGAAAAGGTAAGGCGTGTAGTAAAAAAACTGAAAAATCAACAAAAATTCACAAGTCTTATGATGAAAGTAACTTGAATGATATAAATCCTGCACAATTAATCGGAACAAAGAAGTTGTCAGATGAATCAATCCAATCGAATAGTGCTACAGTATCCAAAGATGGAAAGGAAGTTCCTACACAAAGATATGATTCTAGTAAATTAGTTAAACAAAAGAAACTTGAAAAAACTACAAGTGGTAATGATATATTGCAAACTGCACAGAGTGTCACACAAGTTGAGAGCACCAATTATTTATCAAATGAAAATCGTTTCAATAATGATGATGACGCGACTGATACTGAGTTTCCTGACGAAAATGAGGAAACTGAAATAATAACTAATAGCAGCAATAAGACTTTTGCAGATGCCACTGGATATCAAATGGGTACTAATGGAGAACCAATCACAGCTGAAGATACTACAAGGCAATTGGGTTCTATAATTGTAATGAATACATCTGATGATGCAATCTATTTATCTGATAAAGATCCATCTAGTGAAGGATTGCTGATGGATGAAAAAGAAAAAGAAAAAGACAGTGATCCATTAAAATGCATCTCTGAAACTATGGAATCTGACCTCTTTTTACACCATGGTAAGAAGTCCAGTAATGTTGACACATCTGTGGAGGGTAAACATGGTAATGCAAATAATGAATCATTACAGTATATTGAAGGAAATACACAAAGTTTTCCACTGTCAGGTTTAGGAGAGGACATCAATACTAAAACATCCATTGTAGAAAAGGATGCACAAAAATCACTAGATGAATATGAAAATGACCAGGATATAGTAGGCTATTCAGAAAGTGGTGTAGGGGAATGCAGTAACACAACTGTCAACAATGACAACATTAACTTGAAAGACATTGACAGTCAGCCTACAACATCATCTACAGGACATGTTAATGTACAACAGCCTCAAAGCGAAAAAGAATTCATAGAAAATTCAGATAAAGTTACAGAGTTGACAGGTATCCAAAATGAAACAAATTTTCAAATTGAAGTTTGTGAGGAACATGAAAATGGCGAAATAGAAATATTAAAGGAAAATAGCAGTGGAAAAGCATTAGTAGAAAATAGCACAGTTGCTTTTAAAAAGTTGACATCCTTAGGACATTTAGATGAACAAGTAGTATCAGCTACTGAGGTAGAGGCAAATGAACTCAACCCTGTCATCAATGAGATTGAGCCTAATGAGAACAGAACCTCATTTACTGAAAATGAAAGTAGTGTTCAGATTGAAGACAGTCGGGAAAATGAAGTGAATATTGAAATGGAAAGCACAGGACAGAATGTAACTATAAATGAATCTGAGACTAGCTTAGCAGTAACGGACAAACTTAGAAACTGTGAATGCTCAGATGTCAATACCGAAAGTGATATAAACACAGAAGAACTTGATCATACACAAAATGAATCTAGTGACAATATTTCATTTGCTGAAGATGGAACAATTGTCAAAATATACACTAAAAGACCGGAAATTGCTGATAATGATTTAAGTGATGATACAGATGTTTCAGAAAAATGTAAAAACAATGAAAATTCAGATTCCAATACTGTAATATCAATGACTGAAAATGTACAAACCACAGAGCCAAATTTGGAAAGATTTAGTGAAGATATTAACAGTACAAATAATGATCCACCATTTACTAAAAAATCATGCACTGATAAAACGTCAGATTTTAGCAGTGGGATATCAGAAAATTTAAACCGTATAGAAATCCCCAATAACACAGCAGTTGAAAGCATAAAGACAACTGATACTTCAAGTGTAATAGTTGAAATGGATTCAAAAGATACTGACATATTTACATGTGCAGTATGTGGAAAAAAATTTGGAGATGAATTTGCATATCATTTTCATAGTATGAATAAACATCAGATATCTTCTGAAAAGGAAATTACCAGTAATAAAGGAACTAGGAATAAGTCAGTCACCATGGATACAAATATGGCTACCATTGATACAGGCAAAGCGAATCATGGAAAGAAAGGATATGCAAAAAAACATGCCCATTCAAAAAAGACTGAAACAAATATAACATTAGAAGAAATGAAAATTTTTAAAAAGGACAAACTTTCTAATTTACAAATTACTGCAAATGGACACGATAAAAGAAGGGAGAAGAGAAAAAATAATAATCAAAGGGAGATAAAAAGTAATGTGAACTGGAGGAGAAAAATATTTGAACGAACTGGAACATGTGGAAGAAGAAAGCAAATTGAAGACTTAGAAACAAACGAGAACTCTGAAAGTGATGAAAATGGAAATTTGGAAAAAAGGGAATTTGCCATGCCAAAAAAATATAGAATTTTAAAAAGTAGCCAATGGCTTGATCAGCATATGAACACTGATGGTAAAATTTCTTCAAGTGGAGAATCTGATATAATAGAAACATTAAGTAAAATAAATCCAGTACATAAAAGCTTTCAAAAAGGAAATTTTAATCAAACTGATCTAATCATAGGATATGGAGTTATTGATAAAGTTAGAGAAGTACAACGAGAAATAGTTGAAAGATCAGCTCGGTCAGGACGAATGAACAGAAATTCTCTCCATGAGTCTCCAATTGGAGAAACAACTGACAAAACAAATGAAAGCATCAATAGTGAGGCACAAGAAGTACCTGTTAATGTCCCTCGCAAACGTGGCCGACCTAGGAAAAAGAGAAAGAAGCGCAAAGTACATTCAACAAAGTCACCAACTAAGGATGATTCAACATTAAGCTCAGATAGTTTAAAAATTCACCTTACAAAAGACAGTAGGAAAGGGTATTGCTCTAAGAAACAATGGAAGAGTTCATTACACACATTATCAGATAGCAGTGATTTACCCGAGGAAATGGTATCTCCTAATGAAGATGTTTGGTTTGGAAATAGTCCAGCTGCCTACCCTTCAGTGACAAGCCCACAAACAAACAGTGAAATAGGCCAGGAATCAGAATGTAGCAAGGCCTCTTCTAAAAGAAAGACAGAACATTTGGAGAAGAAAACAAGTTTTAACGGCATTGAATATCAAGCAAAGTCTGTGAGGAAATCCATGATCGGGAAAGTGATGAGGAAAGGAAATCTTAAAAATGATCCATGTGTCAGCTCATCTGAAGAATCTTGTGAAGACATTGGAAGTTTTTGGAAAACAAACCCTGGAAGTGGTCCATGTCATACTATTAGCAAAGCCCCTCAGTCTTCTGATACAGGCAGTGAATCTTCTGTATCTAATAAAAAATGTCCTACAAAAGCAGGCAGAAGGACAAACTTAAGTCATCTGCATGAAAATATTCAAAAGTCTTCCAACCATGGAAAAACCTTTACAAGTAGTGATAGCGATCTGAATCAGATAAATGAAGTTGGTAAAACTGGCACAGAATCAGCAGAAATGAGCAAAGTTTCAACTCAGGCAGAAAATATCAGTAAATCAAATGAACAAGAGAGTACAATGGCAAAAAAGATAGCAAGTGAAACAATCGATTCAAAACATGAAAAATTTGTTGATTTTGATCAGAAATCAGGTAAAAATGAAGTCTTGAAGAAACCTAAAACAGGAAAAGGTAAACAGAAAAAGTCAGGAGCTATTTCAAAACAAAGGAAAGATCATGGTAACATATTTGAAAATTTTGATTCTATAGCAACTGCCAAAAGCCCGGAAAGTGTTAAAGATCACGATAAATCTAATTTAAACGATGAATATGTGAAAACAGTAGAGGAAAGTATGGTCTTACATGATGACAACATCAAAGCAATCACAGGCAAAGGTCTAGAATTCAAAAAGTCACCTAATAATGAAAGCAATACTAATGATGACCTTGTCTTAAGTGGAAACCTGACTCTGATAGATAAAAGCAATACTAATAATGTAAATGTTTCCAGTGGATACCAGACTCTGGTAGGTAGCAATATCCAATATAAACGCGGTCCAGTAAGCAGTATTGAGACTGAGGAAATAATAGAATCTTTAACAGAAATTCAAATGCCATTAGAAATAGAATCTGACATTGAACCTTATAGTTTTCCGATAAGCATTGATTGTGGTGTTTCCTTAGCAACACCTCAAACGACTACAGTCAATTATGTACAGCCTATAAGTATTGTTGATAATGTAGCCACAAAAGATTTGCCATACCCGAATGTTTGTGCCACCTCACATAAGACTATGCATGAAGATTCTTGTAAACTTGTTAATAGCTTGTCACAGTATGCTGTCACTAGCAGGGAAAATAAAACACATAGGAGTCATACCATTGCTGATGATGTAGTTGTTGTTGAATCAGAAAATAAAGTAAGAACTCCCCATGATCAGTCTAATATTGAATCAGAAAATGATGTCACATCTCCCCATGATCAGTCTAATGTGGGGTCAGGCAATTATGGACATAAAGGAAATTTATCACCTAATGGCACTTACATACGGAAAGATAAACACATGGAAAACAAACGTACTGATTTTGCCTTTAAGAGACCAGCACCTGTTTCAGGTAAAAAAAGTAATCCCTGTTCTGATGAAAATGACAGTGATGAAGGAAAAATTATTTGTTCAGTTCCGCCAATTGAAAAACAGCCATCTTGTAGTATTTTAGAAACTGTATTTGGGTCTCATGCAGTGTCTCCTCCTAAAAGGCGAAATGTAGTATTTGTCAATTTAACAAGTAAAAAAGCTAGGGAACTAGAAAGGAAAAGAAAGGAGGAGGAAAAATTACCACAAAACCAACCGAAAAAACAAAATGTGCCTTTCTTTTTTCCTTCTAAGAAAAGAAAGATGACACCACAAATTAACAGGACTCAAAATGAAAATATTTGTCGGCAAGTTGGTGGTCCAACTCCATCTAAGACAATAAAGCTTGAAAGGTTTGATATCATGAAAAACACAGAATCTAGTGGCGGGATATCTAGTAGGGAAACCACTCATTCAATTGGAGCTAAACATTTTAGAAGTAGCAGTCAAGAAAAAAGTGATGCCAAAGGTTCAAACAATGAAGGTGTTTTTAGCGAGGTTTCAAATAAAGAGCATGTTAACGATTGTGGAGCTCAAAATATTGGAAACAAAAGTCAACAGCAAAAAACCAGAGGTAAACATGATGCAAATGTTAGTCTACCTACAAATCAGCGAAAGATGGGTTTTAGTAGAGGCAAAATGATAGGCATCGATGGGAAGCCATTAAATAGAGAAAATATAGTAATTCACAGAGAACAGTTACCTCAAGAAAATTTCAACAACTTTGGGGTAAAAAACATAGGTAATGATAATCAACCAGTAAATCATAGCTATGGAGGAAAAAATATCCATTCATCTAGTCAGTATAATAAAGGAAAAAGTATTAGCCAATCATCTGATAGAGATAACAGTAACCTTTTTGGAACATGTAAAGATATAGAAAACCTGTTACCAACGATTGGAAATTTGCACAGTAATGACATTAGTGTAATGAGCAGTGTGAAACCTGAACAGGGATCCAGCTCCAATAATTTGTTTGATTTTACTAATATCTTCGATGTCAATATAATTACACAAGATAATTTTTATCAAGAATCTACTGGTTTGGTCATTGATAACAAGTCAAAAGCATTGACTGGAATAGATCTGGCTTCCGTTACAGCAACATCTGAAAATATACCACAAAATATGACAGGTGTGAACAATGTACCATCCATGCACAGTATACAAACACAAGGAAATATTGTCTATAAAGATATGTCAAAATTATATTCTGCTGCAAATATACATACATCTATTTCTGTCACACAAATAGGTGGAATTATGCATGAAAGGGATGACCCATCAAAAGTATGTTCGGTTCAAAATGAAACAGATGTAATGCCAAATTTGGTCAACCAAACCCATATACCAGGAAGTCATAATGTTTCAACAAAATTATATGAAGTGAAAAGTTTTGCTTCTAAAAATGGTGATGATCATGTGATTGACTTTTTAAACTTGGACAATTCTCATGCTGATAGATTGTTAGAGGAGATTGAGACCAATACTCAGCCGTCACACGAAACTGATCATGAAAAAATACAGAGAAGGGGAAAGTTAGGGTCTCTTTACATGTCCAATAATGCAACATCTAGTGGGCCATCTCAAGGAACACTTGCTTCCAATTTAGATTTGTCTCAAAAAGCTTATATTTCGACCAAGGCAATTGGAAATCAGATGAATATGAATAATTCTGGAAAAGGTATAAAGAATGCTGAGAGCCAATCTGATATAACATCCAAGCCAACCAATATACTGGATAATTTAATTCTGAATGAGAACAAAAAGTTAGTTGTCTCCCTTCAAAAACTTACACATAGTGACATTCAAAAGCAAACTCGTGTGACTGGTTTGGAAACGATGGAAACAGAAACAGATTCTTATATTGAAGAATTTGAGGAGGATGATGATTTGCCAAGCTTGAAACCATGGCATTGTGCTCTTTGTAATGAACAATACCGTCTTAAAAAAGAACTTATTCGCCACATTTCTATAGTCCATGAAATTTCACAGTTTGATTCTCGACTAAGAAACTATATTTGCAACATGGAGGGTAAACCAATGTCTAATAATTCTCATATACTTTCAGATGATATACTAAAAACAGGACAAAATACAGCTATGTCTGTAACATATGCTGATGTGAGCAATAAAAAAGGTCATGGTCAAACTGTGCCCTATAGTCAAATTGCTCTCGGTCACAGAGACAAGATTATTACAATTGTGGATCAAGAAGAGGATTCAGTAAACAAAAGTGTTGGAACAATAGAAAAGAAGCAATCAAAAATTGTCACCAATGTCAGTATTGATCCTCGCTGGAAGTGTCTAATATGTCCGATGAGATTTCTAACAAAAATCGATGTAATTCAACATGTTAGAATGAAACATAAACAGACCACTAGTGAAAGCACTCCTTACGAATTTGAGCCTGCAAGCCGTCAAACTGATCAAAGTAATCAGTCTGCCACAGGAACTTCAGAGAAATCTAGTCTAGGAAATAATTCATCTTTTACAGCTCCAAGGAAAGTTATTAGGAGAAAGAAGGAGGAAAAGAAGAAAGCAAAAGTTAAAGAAACATCGGAAATATTAATCATATCTTCTAAGACAAATTCTATTCCTTATGATATATTTCGAGCACCTATGGACGAACCTGAAGAATTGAGACAGATATTATCAGTAAAATGGTACTGTAAATTATGTCCAAACTGGTATAGATTAAGGAAATGCTGTTTACAACATGTACAGAAAGAACATGATATCAGAGGTAACTGGGCCAGGTTCTACTTCCATAACTCACAACAAGTAACACGTATTCCGAGCATGGAAATTTGTACAGGTCCTCATGTTGATGTCAAGGCATATCAATTCTGTATTGTTTGTGGGCGATCTTATGTAGATGTGAACGAAACAACAAGACATGTACGTCGCAATCATGGCTACATTGCGGAAGTTCATCGTACAATGTGTGTTCAGGATAAAATGGACACAATAAAGATAATAGTTGCATGTGACATTTTTATGGATTTACATATGTATGTTGTTGGCAGTAAATCGGCCTTACTGGTCCAGAAGGACTTTTTTGATGAACTTTTTCAAAATTGCATGAGTAATAATATAAGAGATTTCAAGGATTCAGATGTGGCTGTAGCAAGGCAATTAAAAAGAATTCTTTTTGAAAATGGAATGATTAATTTGGAACCTTCGGAACAAGAGATGTTGGGAGATGTTGCTCATAATTATGACGTCTACAAAATATCATTTCAAGAAGATTTTCAGTGGGATAGAGGAAGTCAGAAACATGGATCCACGGGCGGAAAAATGTCGCAAGACGATAGCGATTCTAGTGAAGACAAAGATCCTAACACATCTAGTGACAGTAGAAGAAATGTGTCCGAAGAGACCAGGACGTCTGATAATTCTGGCAGATCAGACATTGTATCATTGCATCGTTGTCACAAGTGTAACCTTTCCTTCGAAGACAGGATGGCACTGGACAAGCATAATCTAACCCACAAGATTCAGGTCAGATTTAGTTGCAGACTTTGTAGTAAAAATTTTCCAAAGTTATTTTTCCTTCTCCAGCACTTAGAAGTAAAACATAATCAGACACAAGCAACTTATTTCCAGTTTGTTCTCGAACATGAACAAGTAATTGAGGAAGAGGCTGAGACTGAGGAACAGATCATGGACCAAGCAGGTAATGAATCTGACTCATCAAATTCTGCCATTATCAATATACAATCTGGTGAAGATAATGAGGATCAGGAACTTGATTCTGATGATGTTGAAACAACAGAAACAAGAACATGTTTTGTTTGCGGAAAAAATTTTGAAACAAGACTTTCTTTATTCACTCATTTGAAAGATAAGCACAAAATTTATAAAAGGAAGTGTTTAAATTGCAATAAGAATTTTTCTTGTAAGACTGACCTTCAGAAGCATTTTGCAGATATTCACGATATTGATTTTGTTGTTGATTTGTCGGAGCAAATCTTTCGTTGTTTTGTATGTGATGTGATTATGGAAAGTCGTTCTGAACTAAAAGAGCATTTGCCAACACATGAGAAAGAGGGTTATAATTGTAATCTGTGTGAAATGACGTATACTGCGCCTTCTAGTTTGAGATTTCATAAAAGGACAGTGCATTGGAAATTAGAGGGCACAAGGTCATGTAAAATCTGTGATGATAAAATGTTCACCAATATGAAGGCTTATGAATCTCACATGTTGAATCATTTTTATGATTTTCTTGGTCCAATGAAATGTGCAAAATGCAATATTACATGTAAGAATAAAAAAGCATATAAACAACATATAGCAAGCCATGGACTGTCACTAGTATGTGAACATTGTGGAAAAGTTTGTTTGGACCAGCATGCATTACGTCATCATGTTGTTACTCACAATTTAAGTAAAAAATGTGAAATTTGTGGAAAAATGCTAAATAAATATAGTTTGAAAAATCACATGACAAAAGTACATGGTGAAAAAGAAAAGGCAGCATGTCCACATTGTGGTCGACTCGTTAACCAGAGTTACATGAACGCTCATATCGAGGAAATGCATAATAAAGTTAAAACTTTCGATGAGAGGAAGAAAAAAGTTTGTGATGTTTGTGGAAAAGTCTTTAAAAGACCAGGACTACTGAAAACACATATGGTCGTGCATACAGGAGAGCGACCTTATGTATGTGAAGTGTGTGATCGAAGTTTTGGTTATAAAACAGCATTAAATACTCATTATGCCACACATAAAGGATTTAAGCCACACAAATGTAAATTTTGCACATCATCATTCTGGCTAATAAGTCAATGTAAGGCACATATGAAATCAGACCATGGATATATTGACCCAGATTTGAAACATGCATGTCACTGTTGTGATAAACGATTTAAACACTTGGCTGGTCTCCGTTTACACATGGATGAAACTCACCCTGAAATGGTTCCGGGTCCAAAGTTTTATCCTTGCCATAAGTGTAAAAAAGAGTTCAAATACAGGAAAAGTTTGAGGGAGCATGTAGCGGTGTGTTCTCCAGGAACAGAGTTGGGAAATTTATATAGGAAGAGAAATGATACTAGTAATTCGTCAGGTTTTGTTGATTCACACGAACCACATGTTGTTGAAATGGATGTATTTGAAACATTTCAAGATGTAGGTCATAATGAATTACAAATTCATGAGCAGATAATTTCGGATCAACCACACCTTGCAAGTGGGATGATACAAAAGCAGTTGACCACTGTAGACGGGCAGCAAATTATTATTCAGGAACAATCTGGTGATGTATCCTATCAAACAATATATATACAGTCAGAAGATCCAGCCAGTCATGGACAGGTCTATGTTCAGGATGTATCAAGTCAGGACCAAATCATTCTACAGGAAGGAAATAATGAAGGGGAGATAATTGTGGCTTTACCTGACAATTGTGGTGAATATAATGTTGATTTTCTGACTTCTAGTAATGCTATTGTTGAAGAAGGAGATATTGGATATGCTGAGATAATTGTACAAGATCAATGAAAACTGTTATTATTTTGTTTAATTGAATCATACGGTAGTAACTTAGAAGGGCCTTAAATTCAGTATTAATCATGTGTAAATTTATTAATCCCAATCTTTGACAAATTGTGACAATTAAAGGCACTGAACTTTCATGTTCTGTGCAGGATGGGTTTTTCCTCAAGACGAACAATTTCTTTTTGACTTAAATCAAACCGAAACTATTTTTTTCAAAAACATACAGGAACAAGAACTTTTTTAAGAAAATAAATTATTTTTGTCACTTCTCTTCTGAAACAAATTAACTTTTTTTTTAAAGAAATTTAGAATCAAACAATTTATTAAAAAAAAACCATGACCGCCTACAAAAGATGAATGGTGGGTACCTAAGGCAACGTTTGTTAATGGAATTCCTATAAAAGTTGAATAAAATATTATTTCACTTTCTAAATTTTAAATGAAAGTTACAAAGTTCATTCTACCACAAAATCATTGCATTAAATACTGAAATTAAAGTATCATGATCATGTTGCTGTTGTGACATAAATTAATAGACAGTATTGTAAAGGCCATTATAGAATTAATTTGATTTTAAGGATGTTCACTACTCTTGTTTTTGATTTTTTGTCTTATTTGCTGAATCCTCTAGTTTTATCCATGTAGTGCCAATAAAAAATTTGCCCGCAAACCCTACTTTTATTCATATTTTAATTATATATAGTTTAAAAAGCAAATTTTGAAAATCTTATTAAAATTCTTGTTATTTTTTATACTATCAACAGTCTTTTAAAAATCTTGTTATTTTGTAAAAGAGGAGCAAACATCCTTAAGCTATCCTTGTATACAAGGGAGATAATAAGTCAAAGGGAGGTAAATCAACAATACTTTGAAAGAAATTAAGATAAGAATATTGTTCATTGTTAAGATTGCCAATCAGTATCATATGTATACTTTTTATGGTTGTTGTTAATTGGTCTGTCATAAACTGTTGTAAACTAAAATGGGTATATTTCAAGTCATTTGCTTTTAACTTTACATCACTAATAGTCTATTTGCCAATTCTGTACTTGACCTTTTAAATAGAAATCCATTTGTACGAGTTGTTTCCCTTAGCTGTTAGAAGGGACATTAATTTTCACTGACAATGCAGAGGTGGCGACACAGCAAATTTATCTGTATGTAATGTGTCTTTTATGTTTAAGTTTTTTCAAATCTTTTAATTGCATTTAATCTTTTGTTAAACTAAAAATATTTGATTCAATAGATATTTTTCATTATAAATTGATTAAAACACCATTACATTAATTTTAACTTATCATGCTTTTCATGGACAGCAGTCTATTTTGTTTGGTTTAGAACCAATCTTCAGTTGACAAAGGGAAACAACTTGTTGAAAGTGTGTATTAAAAGAATCAAGAGTTTTTTTGCTCTGTGTTGAAGGCCTCACTGTGACTTTGAGATGAAGAACAGCAATAAAAGCGCATTCCTTTGCTTTTTGTGTGTTTTTTTTTGCTGTGCATGTACTGATTTTGTGTCATGGATTGATACCCGTATCCTTTGTTATACGACCGCAAAAAAATTTTGTGGTCGTATATTGGTATGACGTTGGCGTCGTCGTCGTCCGGCGTCGTCGTCCGAAGACACATTGGTTTTCGCACTCTAACTTTAGTTTAAGTGAATGGATCTTTTTGAAATTTGACCATAAGGTTAAATACCACAAAAGGAAGGTTGGGATTGATTTTGGGGGTTATGGTACCAACAGTTAAGGAATTAGGGGCCAAAAATAAGCATTTTCTAGTTTCCAGTCAATAACTGTGGAACGGTGTATGGATCTCTCTGAAATTATACTACAAGTTTCCATACCACAAAGGGATGGTTAGGATTTGCTTTGGGGGTTATGGCTCAAACCGTCTAGGAATTAGGTGCAAAAAAGGGGGAAAAACAAGGTTGTCCTGGTTAATGGACAAATACTTTAGTACAAAACATAATTTAAAGCAGTGTAAGGGAGATAAATCAAATACATCATTGAAATTATCTCCCTTACACTGCTTTTAAATTATGTATAAAGTAATGGTTAATGAACAATAAAGATAATTTAAAACAGTGTAAGGGAGGTAATCCAAATACAACGTTTTGGTTACTTCCCTTACACTGCTTTTAAATTATGTTTAAAGAAATGCATATTTATAAAGGAAGACCAGTAAAAATATCTGCAAATGTTGCATCTTTTTTTTTTACAAAAAAATCCATATGAAAGATTTGACACTATATTTTTAATTCTATTATAAAATAGATTAAGTTAGCACTATGGTAAATTTAAATGGGTAATTATGGTTGCCAACTCCATTGGAAATTTGAATTGAGATTATGACCATATCTTGAGGGAAAAAAGGGGGGGATAAAAAGAAATTGTGGGGGGTCAATTTTTTCTCATTTCAGATTTCAGAAATTAAAAAGAATTATTCTTCAAATATTATTTTTTTTTCAAATTTCAAATATTGAAAAATTTCAAGAAGTAATCTTTAATTGCACAGTATGGCGCATTAGATTTGTAAAATCTTTGATCACATTTATTTATTTGTTATGCCGAATCTAACAGTGTATTTAGATTTTTAATTTTGGGTCCAGTTTTCAAATTGGTCTACATTAAGGTCCAAAGGGTCCAAAATTAAACTTTGTTTGATTTTAGCAAAAATTGAATATATGAGGTTCTTTGATATGCTGAATCTAAACATGTATTTAGATTTTTGATTTTTGGCCCAGTTTTCAAGTTGGTCCAAATTGGGGTCCAAAATTAAACTTTGTTTGATTTCAACAAAAATTGAATATATGGGGTTCTTTGATATGCTGAATCTAACCATGTATTTAGATTTTTTATTTGTGGACCCCGTTATCAAATTGGTTCATATTGAGGTCAAAAGGGTCCAAAATTAAACTTTGTTTGATTTCATCAAAAATTGAATTATTGGGGTTCTTTGATATTCCAAATCTAACCGTGTATTTAGATTTTTTATTTTGGGTCCTGTTTTTTAAATTGGTCTACATTGAGGTCCAAAGGGTCCAAAATTAAACTTAGTTTGATTTTAACAAAAATTGAATGTTTGGGGTTCTTTGATATGCTGAATCTAAACATGTGTTTAGATTTTTGATTATGGGCCCAGTTTTCAAGTTTGTCCAAGTTGGGGTCCAAAATTAAACTTTGTTTGATTTCAACAAAAATTGAATATATGGGGTTCTTTGATATGCTGAATCTAAACATGTATTTAGATTTTTGATTATGGGCCCAGTTTTCAAGTTGGTCCAAATTGGGGTCCAAAATTAAACTTTGTTTGATTTCAACAAAAATTGAATATATGAGGTTCTTTGATATGCTGAATCTAACCATGTATTTAGATTTTTTATTTGTGGGCCCGGCTATCAAATTGGTTCATATTGAGGTCAAAAGGGTCCAAAATTACACTTTGTTTGATTTCATCAAAAATTGAATTATTGGGGTTCTTTAATATGCCAAATTTAACCGTGTTTTTAGATTTTTAATTTGGGTCCCGTTTTTTAAATTGGTCTTCATTGAGGTCCAAAGGGTCCAAAATTAAATTTAGTTTGATTTTAACAAAAATTGAATTCTTGGGGTTCTTTGATATGCTGAATCTAAACATGTGTTTAGATTTTTGATTATGGGCCCAGTTTTCAAGTTGGTCTGAGTTGGGGTCCAAAATTAAACTTTTTTTGATTTCATCAAAAATTGAATATATGGGGTTCTTTGATATGCTGAATCTTAACCATGAATTTAGATTTTTTATTTGTGGGCCCCGCTATCAAATTGGTTCATATTGAGGTCAAAAGGGTCCAAAATTAAACTTTGTTTGATTTCATCAAAAATTGAATTATTGGGGTTCTTTGATAATCCAAATCTAACCGTGTATTTAGATTTTTAATTTTAAGTCCTGTTTTTTAAATTGGTCTACATTAAGGTCCAAAGGGTCCAAAATTAAACTTAGTTTGATTTTAGCAAAAATTGAATTCTTGGGGTTCTTTGATATGCTGAATCTAAACATGTGTTTAGATTTTTGATTATGGGCCCAGTTTTCAAGTTTGTCCAAGTTGGGGTCCAAAATTAAACTTTGTTTGATTTTAACAAAAATTGAATATATGGGGTTCTTTGATATGCTGAATCTAACCATGTATTTTGATTTTGGACATTGGACCATAATAGGTAAATTAAAAAAATTCAAGTTCTTAGACCACATTCTTTCTGTGTCAGAAACCTATGCTGTGTCAAATATTTAATAACAATCCAAATTCAGAGCTGTATCAAGCTTGAATGTTGTGTCCATACTTGCCCCAACTGTTCAGGGTTCGACCTCTGCGGTCGTATCAAGCTGCGCCCCAGCGAAGCATTTTATTTTTCTATTAAATTGATAATTAGCATTAATACTATTAATAGGAATGATGGTTTATGGGCCTGTTTACATTTTGCAAATTTTCACTTCTTGTGTTCAAGAATAATTAGACTTTAATCTTCGGTAGATAAACAATTTTTTATATGTTTCACAACAACTTGAGTATTCAATGAATTTCAGACATCACCTGTTGCTTATTATGTCATGAACTATTAACAGAATAGTTTTTAAATACTTCATATTACTAGGGAAAATGCATGTCCTGTGCTTATGGTGTATCAGTTGATTAAGATTTGTTTTAAGATTTCTTCTTGTTTTTTCTATTATAGCTGAGGTTTTGTTGAGATTTTGAGTGTTAAGTATATATAATGCATTATTCCATTTGTGCCATAAATTATTGTGAAAAACTTATAATTGAACATAGTATCATTGTCATTTTTTAATGCCCCATCTAGGGACGTTATGTTTTTCCGTGTGTGCGTCTGTTTGTTTGTCCGTTCGTCCGTCTGTCCTGCTTCAGGTTAAAGTTTTTGGTCAGAGGTAGTTTTTGATTAAGTTGAAGTCCAATCAACTTGAAACTTAGTTCGCATATTCCCTATGATATGATCTTTCTAATTTAAATCCAAATTAGAGTTTTGACCCCAATTTCACGGTCCTCTGAACATATAAAATGATACTGTGAGTGGGGAATCCATGTACTATGGACACATTCTTGTTTATTTTAAATTTTAATAATCAACTAAATTGATGTTCAGGGTGATGACAGATACAAAAAGCATTCATAATTTTTAACTAATTAATTTTTAACTCATAACTCAGTTTATGTTCAATTCAAAGTAATTACTTTGAATTGAACATAAACTGAGTTATGAGTTAAAAATTAATTAGTTAAAAATTATGAATGCTTTTTGTATCTGTCATTTTTTACAGAATGTTTGACATTTTCAATATTTTTGTAATAACATTTTTTTATTATTTTTCTGTTCAAAATTAGATATTCTTGATATTACATTGTTAACTGTATTACTTGTAGAAAACCAAATATTTTTACCCCCATGTGTATCATTGTTTATAATGCCTATGTATTGCAACTTATCTTGTTCTATGCATTATTTTTAAGCTAATAATACATATTGATAAGTTTTTATGCCCCACCTACGATAGTAGAGGGGCATTATGTTATTCGGTCTGTGCGTCTGTTTATACGTCTGTCCCGCTTGAGGTTAAAGTTTTTGGTCAAGGTAGTTTTTGATGAAGTTGAAGTCCAATCAACTTGAAACTTCGAACACATGTTTCCTATGATATGATCTTTCTAATTGTAATGTCAAATTAGAGTTGTGACCCCAATTTCACAGTCCTCTGAACATAGAAAATGATAGTGCGTGTGGGGCATCCGTGTTCTATGGACACATTCTTGTTTAGTGGTTGAAATTTACATCTCCTTTTATGTTGCTTAGTACTCAATATGCCATTGATTTTGTCAAATTTGTGTTTATTCCTCTCTTTATTTGATATGTTTCACCTTGCTTATTTTGAAATAAAAGAAAATTAAAGAAATTTTTTTTAAAGAAAGCCCAGTGGTTCAAATATGCTTTAAGGAATGAAAGGTCCAGAACTATTTCAATATTCAAATGAAAGGTTGTCCTTAATAATGCCATAGGTCATGTATAGAGTGTCAATGTAAAGGATTGTGATCATGGAATTTTGTTATTTAAGAATCAATGTGTTCCTCCCAGAAAAGACATGTCCTTGATATATTACCCACACATATGTCTATCCCTTCTGATCAACAATTTTTTAGCAGCACAATTACCATTACTCATAAGAACGGCAAAAAAATCCAAACTTAATCAGGGCAGACAGACTGCTAGCTATTCAAGTATTCACCTGTCAAAATACTCCTAATTGTAAATACATTAATTGTTTTTAGTCCCAATATCTATTTGAAATCCAGGATGAAAGTGTGGTACAATGTATAATATCATGTTGTATTGTGTATAACTAGTTATAGTTATGATAGTTACATATGAATGGAGGTTTTATTTAAATGATATTCTTTTTTATAAACTCTTTTTAATTTATTTTGTGATTGTTATCTGTGAAGAATTTGATATTCCTTTCTTGCAAGTAAGTCTAGGAAGAAGAAAAAAACAAGAGTAATCTGCCCTTAGAAATATTGTTTTCTTTGAATTTACATATACCAATTATGCCTATGTATAGGACGACATCAAAAGTTCAATGTAGGATAAAAAACTTAATTCACATAGTTTTTTCACTGACCCCCTCACCCCCCTCTTAACTTAATTTGGGAAAAATTGATTGACCAATATGTATATATGTAAAATCGATTTTGGATAAACAAAACTTGCAGCAATTTTAACCCCCTCCCCGTCCCCCAAACTATTTGATTTAAGTTTTTATCCTACATTGATCTTTTGATGTCGTCCCTAAGCAAACGGAAATGTAAGACTTTCCAAGTAAATCATTTTTTTTCAACACAATTGAGTATGAATCTATCTTATTTTTTTTCCTTTTGGAATTTAGACATTTATCACAATTACAATTTGAAAGGAATATAATAAAGTCAGCATAAGTAAAAAAAAAAAATCATCA